AACACAATTTCTGCTCTCCGATTTCCACTATGAAGAATTTTATGTTTAACTTCCCTTTGGATTTGATATAAGTGCCTACCTTTCCCTTCTCCATCCCACCTCTCTTGCCACTTTTGATTTATTCTCTCCCATATTACACTTTTAACCTCTGTTTTGCTATCACTTACTTGCATTTCTATTTTTCCTTTTGTTAATGCCCTTTTTGCTAATTTATCTGCCATTTCATTCCCCTTTATCCCTACATGACCTGGGACCCATATAAATTTCACCTGTCTTCCTTGATTTACTATTCTTGTCACTGACTGGAGTACTTCAAACAGTATATCTTGACGACTTTTAGAATAGAATGACCTTAGACTAAGCTAGAGCTTGTTAATAGCGTTTGTAGAATCAACTGTTTAAGTATCGCCACCTACTGGACTAAATCTGTAACGTGACAAGCTTTAGCATGAGAGCCTCGACGGACCTGGAAAATGTCATGAAATTAATAACATAACATAAACAAGTAACGTTATAAAGAATAATAAGAAACAAATAAAGGATAACATAATTACATAACACAAATATAGAAGATCAGGTGTATTTCAGAATAAAAGCTTAAACACAAAATCGACTTTAATAGAAACATTATGTGCATTTAAACGTGGTAAGAGCATCAAAGACCTTCATGATACAAAACAACACGAATATGACAACACATCGTCCCTACTTTAAGAGACCGCTTCCCTGATGATCATTGTGATATGCACAAAGATTGCAACTCGCCATAAAACCAAGAAGATCATTGCAATTAAGCGATGACTTTTATTTTGGAATTTGAGCCTGTATTTCCGTGTAAAATCAGGCCAGTGGCTGAGTTCACACACCCGCGCGCACATATTCCATTGAACTTCCTCCTCAGCTCAGCTGTCAAAGCGTCTACACACCATTGCTCGAGGTAGCAATATCATATTTTTTTTGTTTAGGATATCAGACAGGGCTTAATCTGAGATGGAGGGCCAGCGCTGGTTACCACTGGAAGCCAACCCAGAGGTATGAATTTCTCACTATCTCACGATATTTTGTCGTTAATTAAATTTTATATCGTTCATCGGTTCATTTTTTCATAGGCAGCTTTTAGCAGGAACGGTAAGCTGCAGCTCATGTCTTTGACATCATATTTTATATGATACTGTTTTGTGTTCTGTGTCTGCTTTTCAGGTTATGAACCAAGTGAGTAGAGGTCTCGAATATCTGGGTGTGTCTAGGATTCAAAACTTGTGCCAAATGAATGAATCAGGTTTATTAAAGCACGTCTGTTTTAAAGCTAATTTCATAAGCTTTGATTTATTATGTTTATCAGCAATACTGCGCTTGATATCTTGTTTTTAATTTTATGGTATTGGAAGTAATGCGAGATGTATTTTATGTTTCACATTAGTTTATTATTGATATATTTAAATAGAAACGCTTCTGGAATGCGTAGGCCCTTGTCACGTGTCTCTCACCATACACTTCTAACCTCTGTACTAGTCTTATGATATATGATTTGTTTTTAATATGTATGTATTGTGTTATACCTTTGTTAAGTTTTTACGGCAACTTGGCTTGGTACCCACCTGGCAGTTTGGGGATGTGTACGGTTTGGAAGCTGAAGTTCTCAGTTTGGTGCCAAGGCCTGTTTGTGCTGTACTTTTGCTCTTCCCTATAACAAAGAAGGTATGACTGCAGTTTGCACCCATAATGACTCCATGTTTGCAAATAAGCTCTGTATTTTGTGACCCTGGACCACAAAACCAGTCATAAGGGTCAATTTTTTAGAAATTGAGATTTAAACACCACTTGTTGCAACTGGATACAGTTGTTGCTTGCAAATTATACCAAATCATAGTTGTATAGTTTTTTTATTCTTTTTTTATGCTGGGCTCTTTCTCTATTTGACGTGATATGGTAATTCCCTTTTAATATGTATTTTAAAGGGGTGTATTATTTGACTATTTGGTCTAAATAAAATGGAACAGGAAAGACTAATAAAATGGAACAGAATCGTGAGTTGCTCTCTTCACCATGACCCAAAATAAAATGAAATAACTGAATTTGCAGCACCAACACTTCTAATAATATTTATGATGATTTGAGCATTTTGTTCAGTTAGTTTGAAGTGATAATCTACCAATAATCATTGTGTGGTTATGTAATTAGTGTTAGTGACAACAAGAGTTCAAAAACTTGTGAATGTGTTTTTTTTTTTTTTTTTTTTTTTTTTTTTTTTTTTTTTTTTTTTTTTTTTTTTTTTTTTTTTTTTTTTTTTTTTTTTTTTTTTTTTTTTTTTTTTTTTTTTTTTTTTTTTTTTTTTTTTTTTTTTTTTTTTTTTAATGAGGGTGGTTAGGTTTCAGCATGACACAGGATGTGACAAAAATTGTATTAGTTAATGCAAACCTGTGGCCAGTTGCATAAACTTAGTGTCTTATGTTAAGACTAGGGGTACTTGGTTGTATTATTTTTTTTTTAATTAAATTAGACTAATTCTTTTTAGACTAATTCTTTGTTTTATGTAACCAACTTAAAAAAAAAAAAAAGTATTAATTCTTTATACCATAGTAAGTCAGATAAATAAAGCATCTTTGTCATTCTTGTAAATTATTATTATTTTACAGTGCGTTATCTGTACTGTAGATTGCATTTTAGTAATATTCTTTTCGTCAATGTAGTATGAAACCTTTAGACAGGAGGAGGAGGCAAAAATTAAGGCACAAGGACAAGCGGTGTCCTCAGATGTGTACTTCATGAAACAAACCATCGGCAATGCTTGTGGTACAATAGGGCGGAATTTTTGGTTTCAGCCAAAATAGTTTGAGAGCCGAAATTGCTGACAGAAATATCAAGAGGTAACTTGTTGCCAACTTTTTTTTACTATGTCTGGTTTAATTTATCACCTGAGAATACAACTGAGGTCACTATGAACAGCATACTGATTTAAATTACCCAAATTTAATTAACCAAACTTTTTGTATGAAAATTGTCATTACTCTGAGCAAAAATTAAGTTTGGTGAGGATCAGTTTTTTTTTTTTTTTTTTTTTTTTTTGGAGTGATTTCCCGTTTTAAAAAATATTAGTTAGTTCATTTGTATAAAGTTCACAGTGTACTTGTTTGTGGTATGTTCATGACATTCTTTTTTTACAGAGCCCAATTCACCACTTCAGGCATTTTTACTGCAGTCTGCAAAGATGAGCCCAGAAGAAAAGGCAACTTTCCTTGAAAAAGATGAGGTGATAAAATATGTTTTTGTTGCAACTGAATGGCCTCTGAAGGAATTAACTGAACTAAACTTTTATACATGATACTGATATTTTTATGATTTCAGAGTATCCGAGTAACACATGAGTCAAGTGCTCAGGAAGGACAAACAGAGGTTGGTATTTGCTAAATATAGAGTAGTTGCTAACACCGCATTCAAAACGGTACCAAGTATTTGCACACATTTTGAAGTTTCATCCCACTGATGAACTTTCCATGTGGTGTTGTTTTGTTAATGTTGAAGTAGCAGAATTTTGAGAATTGGACCATGTTGAAAATATTGCACTGTTAGTTCTTGATTCACAGTTTCTTAAAAAACAAAACAAAAAAACAAATAGATTCAAAGAGGCCCAGCTTATTTTTTAAATAATTAATTCTGGACCCGTAAATTAACAACAGATTTTGCATATCTGGTTTGTCTGATGCAGATTTTTTATTTTTTTTTTTAAGTCAGAAAAACATTTTTAACTTGACAATTTTTATTAAAAAAAATAGAATGACTTTAAATATAAATACATTTGTTAGAAATTATTTATCCATGCACATTATTTCATGTTCTCTTGTAGTCTTTAATCAAAAGCAAAAACTTCTCACCTTCGCAATGACATCTCTGGTGATGTGTGCATGGACATGAGGACGGAACAATAATACATCGCCTCCGGCAACCTGTTACTTACATGAGATTGCAGAAAAACACAACGATCCAATTAAAATCATCAATTATACCAAAACGTCTTGCCCTACTTTTTTTTCCTCAATCAACTGTGTACTCGGCGACAGCAGATTTAGAATGAAATTAGATTTAGAGTTAAATTTAGAATTAAAATAAGAATTATTGCTGCAGTCACATCTACACAGTATAACCGTTAAGACCTTTCCAATCTGGTTTCACTTCTTTCCACAGGACTTAGATGCTCTCTTAATTCTTAATGACCTTCTTTGGCTCTTCTCTGGCTCTGTATTCTTAGTATTCTCATTGTGTTGGGTCTCAGTTCTGCTTTTTTATTGCTGTTCCAGTGTCATAGAAAAATTCTAACATGCTAACTTTACTCTGCTCACACTTATAGGCTCCAAGCTTAGATGAAAAAGTGGATTTGCATTTTATTGCCTTTGTAAATGTTGAAGGACATTTATATGAACTGGGTAGGTAAACTTAATTTTACATGATGAATGTTGTCATTGTTTTAGTTGCTTGTCAGTTCTACACTAAAAATTTGATGTACAGTGATGTACAGTATCAACACCTATACGTAATTATTATGTGCAACATTGTGAAGGGAGATATTACTGGTGTTCATATTATGTTCATGTGTTTCAGATGGACGCAAACCTTTTCCAATTGTTCATGGGGAAACCACAGAGGACACATTTCTTGAGGTGGGATTTTTCTCAGTCATGGGCTATAGATGTACTGTATAGATTATTTCTAGCAAAGAATGTATATTTGCAACTTGTTTTGTTTGTAGACATTAGCTACGTTTTCATGGACACCTTTTGTTTCAATTGGAATGAAATCATTCTGATTGAGGAATCTGAATGTAGTGTTTACATGAACGTTAAATAAAGTGATTGGGTTGATGTGCACGTTTATATGTCACAAGCTTCACATTGAATTTCATCTTTTGATATGTGCACACTGCAGCAATATACACTTTCCCGCTGTTTGCACATACTATGCTTCTTCCATCGCTTCTTTTCTTTGTTTTAAAGAGCAGAGTTAGAATCTATATGTTTCTGGTCCTAATTAGGAGGCAAAGATCACATGAAGATTTTTGCCGTGCTGCTTGTATTTATCAAGCAGTAAACTCACAAATTCCCATTGCCAAAACAAGCCATCTGTGGATGAGAGTATGAAGTGAGGACTGATGGGACATTGTTCTGCTCCACTTCACAGACAATGAGTGGAAGGAGAATTTTAGAATAACATGACAGTCAATTATGACACTTCATTCTACAAAAACAACGGCTCTTTCCATGCATCATACACATTACACCATTTTTATGTCATTGCGCATGTACTTTCTAGTTTCGGTTTTCAATCCAACCAAGTGTTTACATGTCTATACTGCCCCTTTCAATCCGATCGAAATTTCATTGTGATTGAGCTCCGTCGGATCGATTGGGGTGTTTACATGAAAGCATTTCAGTCAGATTGAGCCATCAATCTGATTATTTAATTGCATGTAAACATAGCTATTGTTGTGGATGGAGGGGTCCGGTTTTATACATTTGACTCTTGTTTTTGCCTGATCTACAGGATTCTGCAGAGGTCTGCAAGAAGTTCATGGCACGTGATCCCCAGGAGCTCCGTTTCACTGTGGTGGCTCTTTCCAAAGCATAAAGTTTCTTGTTATTTTACCCAAGAGAAAAAACTGCCTATCATTCAGAAGTGCTGAATACTTTAAACCTTTATAGGTTCAATTTTGACTTTGAATAAGAAAAGTTTGTTAAAGGTTTTGACCATAACCGACAAAGCAAATGAGAAGCAAATTAGCTAATAATAAAAAAATGTACATGCACAAAATGTTGTATCTGCATGTTTACAACTCTCTGATTTAAATAATGTTTGTTAATTTCTCTAAAATTATAAAAGTTCATGGCACGGGATCCCCAGGAGCTCTGTTTAAAATCTGTTTTCTTGATGTTAATATTAATTCATCTAATGGTGGTGTTCTTTTTTTCTGCCAGAAAACATCCATTTAAAATAAAAGTTCTCCTGTTGAATATGTAGACTTATATTTTGACACAAAAATGCTCTTTTAACAGAAGTGTGTCAGTGTGCCAATGTGTCATTGCATATGGTGCCCTACTTCTAAATACCGTTTTCTCAAGAATACAGCAAAAATTCAGATGAAACTAAAACAATAAAGAACAAATGTTTTCATCTCATGGTGACCTCATTGCTGTATTATGAGTGACAACAGTTCACTCCCTGAATACTCAAGCTATGATTAATGTGCATCTTTTGTTTACGTTTATTTTTTCCCCTTCAGAACAGCAATGTTCTTTAAAAAATAAATTAAATTTGTAAACAAAAATAATCAATTCAGATTTATGTGATTTTAAGATATTGAGTATAATTATATATAAGATAAATTTTAAATTTTTTGTACACTGTATTATTTAGAGTATGCCTCTTCTTGAATACTTAATTCTGATTGGTCAATTGCAGCATTCAGTGGAATGAATAATGACTGTTGTCCAGGGAACATCAGGAAAGCCTTGCTTATGTACTGTAGCTGTGATCTTTCTTTCCTTCTTTATTTCTTTTTTAGTGAATTATTTGGTAAATAACCTTATACGTTGATAATGTACGGTCAGCTGGTTATTATTGCAAAATAAATGCTGATAGTTTGATTGGGTCGGTGTTCCTGGACACTGCATGGTCTTTGTATTCTCGCATAAATAATTTAGTTAAAATAATTTTGTCCTATTAACCAGCTGACAGAAATCTATCCCTTATTTACAGATTTACAACAGTAGTTGCACACTCGAAAAAATGTAAATAATAAATTAAGCAAAAATCAAGTATTTAAATTTGATAGTGATTAAAAAACATTAAATCAAAACCGTCTTGTATTTAGCTTTAAAAGTAGTCAGTCTATGCTTAAATGCACTTTACAATTTGAATACCATCTGACCTGCATCAGTACTTGTAAACAGACTTTGTGCTTTTTTTTTTTTTCACCAAATGCATTTTATTGTGCCCTCGGCACCTGTAATGTAACCTGACAGTAGTTTAGGTGTGTATCTTGACGCACTAGGGGGCGTATAAAGTACACAACGCAACTCTAAAGTTTCTCAGGAGCAGGCGGAGATTTAAGTTTTACCCTGCGTCGTTTACGGCTTTTATAAGGTCTTTGCTCGTTAAAGTTCTGACTCGGTGATAGTTGTGATGCTGGTAGTTTAAAAACGTTTACATGCTGACTTAATTTTCTAAGAAAACAGTTATAGTCTTACAATTATTCAAGCGACGCAGCAGAACTGAACGCTCGCGTTTTTACCATACGCGCGTCTTGCTCGCGTTTTTGCAGCGTAGACGCCTGTTTCCTTACAGCCTCAACAAGAAGCGCACTAAAGGCCGGTGATGGAGTGGCGACCGCAGTCTTCAGTGTGTTGTGAGGCTGCTTACTCAGAAGCACAGAGATGGATTGAGGTAAGAGCTTTCACACCTACTCTCACTTAGATAAAGATAGTTCAGGGAAGTGACACTTGATACTTCCAAATTATGAGGTAACCAAAATGAAAAAGTACTGATTCGATTCATTAACTCGTGCTGAATATACACAGACCTGTTGAATTCCTGTTTATAAAACCTGGCAAAATAAAAAAATACAACATATGCTAACCTACAAAATTGTAATAAGTATTATTAAAAGTATGTTTAGATAATTATCATTAGTGCTCATATTTGTGATGCGTTCAGCCTCGCCTTTTGCTTTTCAGCTTCTTGTCATTTACTTTTGCTAAACGCTGCATTGGTAGTTTTTGTGTGTGTGTGTGTGTGTGTTTGCAGTAAAGATCATTAAATGTGTATTTATGTGGATATTTATTTAACCTAAATAAAGGTTACAATTAGTGTAACATTTCTAGTAGCCTACCCTGCACACTTTATATCATTGTCAAAACGTCAATTTATTTTGATTATTTGTTTCTTTGAACACTGTAATAATGATTATCTTTATTGTTTATATATTTTAGTTCGATTAATATTTATTATTGTATTGTCCACAATCAACAAACACATTTTTGATTGTCATGAGGACAGTAAAATGCATTGTTTAACCTTATTCCAATAACATTGCAAAGCATGGGATAATTCACCCAAAAATGTAAATTATGATTTTATACTCTCTTCATGTCATTTCGAACCGAAATAACTTGCATTCTACTGCGGGACACAAAAGATATACTGTAAAATGTTGGTAGCCAAACAGTTTTGGACTTTTGTTGCATTATTTTGTCCATACAGTTTAAGTCAGTGGGACCCAAAACTGTTTAGTTACCAACATTCTGTCAAAATATCTTCTTTTTTTTTCCACAGAAGAAAGAAAGTCATGCAAGTTTGGAACAATGGAAAGTAAATGATGGCAGAATAAAATATTTGAGTGGACTATCCCTTTAAAGCACTGATCTATTTTCTTTTTCCGTCAAGCTCACTGTGGCAAAACCAAGTAGTCCTGCAAATATTTTCACACGCTTTAGTCAGTTTATTCCACTAAACCCTCTGGAACGCACTTAGTCTAAGGCACAAATGATTAGGACTTTCCTATCCTTGTGAATTCCCTTCTCTGCGGGTGATGGCCGGGCCAAAGCACTGGCTGTAACTGAACAAATATTGTTCTTAATTCATGAGGGGTGAATCTGAATGCTTTCAGTGTGAAATCAGTCTCTCACACATGCACACTGGTGCATTGTCACAGGCGGTGGACCTTGGCAAGGCAGTTTGACCCCAAGCCGATTGCTCCCCTGCAAAGGAAGGTGATGTGCCGCTTAGTGTCCGATCTGAATGACTAACGGGTTGTCAGGCGTGAGGGCGCACTGAGCAGTGCTGGAGTCTGAGTGTTAGAGTATGTGGGGTGTTCTAGTTAGCTGAATGATCTGGAGTTTGTCACATGTGCTCATGCTTGCACCAGGCACCCGGTCTGTGGGCAGAGACATTCCTGTTTTTCCTCCTGGGTAGTTCTCAGCTTGTTAAAGTCAAACCCAAAATTAGCCACCCTTCTGAAGTTGCTTGGTATATCTAAGAGTAGAAAGTTGGCAACTGGGGCTAAGTCATTCTTGTTGTGAAATAATATTAAATACTTAAAAAGCAGTTTAAAGTACATTTATTATACATTTATAACTGAAATATTTTATCTCACTTCATTTTACTGATGATCATTGAATGGTTATTAAAGTTGAGGTAATTGTGTGTCATCCAATTTTAAGTTGTACAAATTTGAGAAGTTTTTGAAAAAAAAAAAAAAGTTTCTTGAAAAGAAAAAAAGATTTGAACAAAACATCTATCAGTTATCCTGGTTCTTCTTTTTAGCCTAAAATGACCGAAGAGCATTTTCAATATTTCTTCATGTTCAGCAAACCCTACTTGATCAAAGGGATTATAGCACTTTGGCACAATTAACGATGTGCAGCATTCCGTGTGTCCAAACAGCTTGGAATGCCTCACTGCTCCTTCATGAATGAACAATAGCTGTGTGCAAAAGTGCAGCTGAATAAGAATCATGTCTTACATCGAAACCTCCTATTTATGAACAAATATTGTTCTTAATTCATGAGGGGTGAATCTGAATGCTTTCAGTGTGAAATCAGTCTCTCACACATGCACACTGGTGCATTGTCACAGGCGGTGGACCTTGGCAAGGCAGTTTGACCCCAAGCCGATTGCTCCCCTGCAAAGGAAGGTGATGTGCCGCTTAGTGTCCGATCTGAATGACTAACGGGTTGTCAGGCGTGAGGGCGCACTGAGCAGTGCTGGAGTCTGAGTGTTAGAGTATGTGGGGTGTTCTAGTTAGCTGAATGATCTGGAGTTTGTCACATGTGCTCATGCTTGCACCAGGCACCCGGTCTGTGGGCAGAGACATTCCTGTTTTTCCTCCTGGGTAGTTCTCAGCTTGTTAAAGTCAAACCCAAAATTAGCCACCCTTCTGAAGTTGCTTGGTATATCTAAGAGTAGAAAGTTGGCAACTGGGGCTAAGTCATTCTTGTTGTGAAATAATATTAAATACTTAAAAAGCAGTTTAAAGTACATTTATTATACATTTATAACTGAAATATTTTATCTCACTTCATTTTACTGATGATCATTGAATGGTTATTAAAGTTGAGGTAATTGTGTGTCATCCAATTTTAAGTTGTACAAATTTGAGAAGTTTTTGAAAAAAAAAAAAAAGTTTCTTGAAAAGAAAAAAAGATTTGAACAAAACATCTATCAGTTATCCTGGTTCTTCTTTTTAGCCTAAAATGACCGAGTAGAGTTGGTGGTGGTGGTAGATGTGAAATGGTTTAATTTTTTACTTTTTGGAATCTTAAATGTGTGTTTTTTTTTAAAGGCTGCATTTATGTGATAAAAATACATTAAAACAATAATATAGTGAATCATTATTAAACATTTCAAATATATTCTAATTCTAATTTAAAAATGTTATATAGTCCAGTGATGATAAAGCTAAATTTTCAGTAGGCATTTTTCAGTGTCAAATGATCCATCATAAATCATTGCAATCTGCTGAATTAGTGCTCAGGAAACATTTCTTATTATTATCAATGTTGAAAACAGTTGTGCTGATTTTTGCATGATTATTTATGTAGAAACCATGATATTTAATGCATTATTGCTAAATAAATCATTCTTATTTCAAATAAATCTATTTTTTGTTTTACAATAGTATATTCTTTTAAATGTAATAGTACTAAATAGTATCTCCTGCCCCTTAAATTATAGTGGATTGCAGCAATGCTATTTATTTACTTATTTATTTATGTTTGTTTGTTTGCTAGTTATTTGTTTATTGGTTTTCTAAGTGATTTGTTCAAGCTCTCAAATTGTTCTTCACATGCTACAGAGATCTATTTAAAAACTAAAAGCCATCATGGACATTACAATGACAGGAACAGCAGGGGTCAGGATTTCATATGTCACTGAGCTCTGATGTTTACTACGCCATGCTGTGTAAATGTGCTCCATATGATTATCCTCTTATCTCTTCACACTCCATATCTGTGAGGGTTTGTAATGGTTACATAAAACTACATGAAGGGTACAGGAAGTCATTTGTCATTTTGTGCCAAATAACTTGATCTTTAATATTATTTGATATTATGTATTCTAGTACATAATGGACGTTTTTTTGGCTGTATTAGAAGAACTTATTAGTTATCTCGATTTTGAAAGATTTAGATCAGTGTGACAGGGGATACAGAATTCCTGTTGAGATAATCTACCTTAATTTGCTTTGTAACTTGATCTAGTACGAGGATCATAGTATTTGTCCTCACATTATTTTTGTCCTTGTTTTGTTCAGCAGACATAGAAAGTGTCCTTTGAAGTTCTGCTTCTAAAAGAGAACAATTGCGGTTCAAATCTCACAGTCAATACTGATCTCAACATAACCAGTGACCTTTTACATGTAAGGCTCTCCACACCCTCTGAATACATGCCATGCTCCTGAGCGACAGCCAAGTAAAAGCAGCTTAAGAGTGTGCTATTCAAAACAACAGACTTCATGTTATTAATAAGTGGTTATGCTTTATTGACATCTCAAGATTTCTCTATGGCCTGATTTTCTTGTAGTTAGCTGCGGTTTTCTTAAATGTGATGTTTTCTAGACCAGTAGCATATTATAAAACATACTTGCTAAATGAGCAACTCTGTTTTTACTGGCGTTCAAACTTGGAAATTGAAAACATTTGTATTCGGAAAAAGGGCTGTACTCATAGATTATGTTATATGAGGTGTGGAGCAACAGGGCTCACATTGTAACAGTGTAGTCTGAGGGTATAAACACAACATAAATGCTTCCCTGTGTGTGAGCAAAAACAATGGGCTGGCTGCCCTCTGTGTCCTGCAGGAGTAGCTTGAGATCATTGGAAAGGCATGAAACTGTGTGTAGAACTGTGACATTCCTCCAGATGCTCTCGTTCTCTGTGGTTTGGCCGCTGGGCTCCAGCCCTGATTACTGAATAACCCAAGATTCTCCAAAAGAGACTGTGTTGTTGTACTGGTGTGTTAGTCTCTTGGACTTGCAGCTTGGAAGAACAACTTTCCTTTCCCTGGACATAACCTTCCCACTTACTGGTTCTTAGTGCTTCCTGTGTTTGTCCTCGTCTCGCAGGCAGTCACTAAGAAGAAGTTTGTGAGCAGTAATTTCCGGAGTTCTCTGGAGAATGGACTTCTGTTGTGTGAGTAAGTAAAGCTGTTTTTACTTCTCTCATTTTTACTATGGTTTTCTTGTTTAATGCATGAAAAGATTTCTGCTATACCTTTTATAATTGCTTTTAATAATAACTATTGCATAACTCCTTCATGCACACTAACATAATATAGTGTAATCAGTCTTAAATGGACAGTTAACCCAAAAATACAAATTCTGTTATCATTTTCTCATCCTCATGTTCTTCCAAACCTGTATGATTTCTTTCTTCTGTGGAACAAAAAAAAATGTTGAGGAATGTTTCGGCTGTTTTTGTCCATACTTTAGACGTTTTGAGCTCCAAAAAGTGCATAAATGTAACATAAAAGTAATCTATACAACTCTAGTATCCTTGATCAAAAAGATCCCTTTTTATGATGTAAAGAGCAAAAAATAAGGGGTTATTCAATATCAAATCAAATCAAATCAAAACATCGATCATCTAATGGATATGCATGCATAAATCTAATATGGCGATACATCAATAATGCTAACTTTTTACAGTTTCTTGTCATTTTTCGACCTCATTGACTTTCATTGTATAAACAAAAACAGTTAAAACATTCTTCAAAATATCTTCCTTTGTGTTTTGTAGAAGAAAACAATCATATGGATTTGGACATTATTTTTTGAATTTGGGCTTTTAAACTATCCAACCCAGGCAGGTGAAGGTGAAATCTGGCAACATTTTATTTTGTTAGTTGTTGTTTGCTGAGTGGCACTAAAAGGTTAATGCTATATCGCTTTTGAAAATAATGTACACCAAACCCAATCTTAAAACAAATCGATAGTGTTTTAAAAGCAAGTGTGAGATAAAAACATATTTGCTGAAGCAACCATACCATTTTAGCTTGCTTCTACAAGTCTTTGAGCTTTTTAGCATGACTCGTGTTTCATTAAACTCATACTCCACATCGCAAATGCAATGCTGTACCAGGGGCGCTACCGAGCAAGTTTACTATGTCAGAAAAGCTAAACATATTGAGATGTAAATGTCAAAGTGAATTTGTTTGCAAATTATGCACTGTGAGGTCATAATATAGTGTTGTACAAGGAACTGAATAAAAATAAGTCTTGAAAATTGATAATCTGCCCCATGTAATCATAATTTGTATGAAAAGGATTTTTTTATTTTTTTGCAAAAGTAGAGGTACAGGCACATTTTTCCATTGAGCTTTTCTATTATGCTCTGTAACAATATTTGACCTGTTACCTGAAATGTGATGCAAGCTAACCTGAACTTTTTCATTTGGAACTTGCATCTAAGCTGTGTGTCATTTAATGTGCATTATGCCATACAGCTATTTTTAAAACACATAATTTGTACCCGGCTGCCACAGTCACACTCTGTTCCATCCCAGGAAGCATTAGTAAGCCCAGCAGAGGAAAACAACACGGATGGAAGAGCATTTAAAAGGACAGCTGGGAAGAGGTGATCCATAGTGCCAGCTACTCTAGCAGGGTTCAGAAACCTGAGCAGGGCAGAGTGCAGGCACACAGGGATTGACGGCACTCAGGCCTCTTCTACAGCAGCTCTGTTGTGCTGTTTATGTAGAGAGAGCGTTGAGTTCAGTGGACTGGGTGTGACATGCTGCAAGCTCAGGGATTTCAGCACATTTCTGAACCTGACTGGATGGTTCTGGGGCAGTGCGTGGGCCGGTCTGACATGCTGGTGTCAGTCGAGTGACTCAGCAGACTAATTACCACAGTCCAGTGCAGAATCTCACCGTCCTGCTCCTGCACTCTCATGCTGCTTTCTTTCGGTCTGTACTAAGCTATTAGCTTTGCCATTTCCACATGAGTGGACAAATGCACACATTACCTGAGGATACTGTCACTCTGGATCTCACGTCTAAACAAAGACTCCTGTGAAACTACCGCTGGGGTCGACATAGCAAAGTCTTGACTTGAACTTAAAGAGTTCATAGATGTGTGAACAGGTTTTTCAGTGGTTGCGCAGGATACACATTTGTACTGTTTTAAAGATCACAAACAGGGAGGATATTATTTATATTGCCAGCACTACATATTGTTTAGAAAAATTGCAGCTCTGTTATTTGCTTAAAGAGTTCACCTAAAATTTAAATTATGTCGTCATTTACTCACCCTTATGTTGTTCCAAACCTGTATGACTTACTTTCTTCTGTGGTTAAAGAAAGAAAGTCAAGTTATTTTATATCACTAAATGAGAGTAGATACACTGTATGTCTGTATGTCTCTCCCTTTATTACACATAACCAAAACAGCCAGAAATCAAGTTTCTCACACATTATATTTCATGCTCATCACTCCTTGTTAGCTATCAGCTGCACACCTTTTTATTTTCAATGTTTAATGTTTATTTCTCCAAACCAGTTTTTCACAAAAAAAACTAGACTTGGCCTATTTAGAGGCTATTGACTGATGTCTGTTTCCACAGAGAGTTGTTTGTATTTTCTTCAGGGCATTAGATGGCTTTGTAAACTGAAGCCAGATGGTCAGAATTAAAGGAAGCCATAAACTGGCAACCGACACATGATATAATTGTTTGTGTTGACTTTAGCTCTGTTTTTCTCTTTCTAGTCTGATCAACAAGATCAGGCCTGGCGTCGTCAAGAAGCTAAACAGATTATCCACACCTATTGCTGGCCTGGTAAGTTTTTTTTTAATTTTTTTTATCATTATTATTATTTGTACTTTGACATGCATATATTATTTGTGCTGTAGTATTTCACCTTGGCTAAGAACCTTAACTCTTACAAAGAAATTTGAATGATTTACCAAACAGTTTACATGTACATGGGTGTTAAGTGTGAATTGCACAGGGTTGATCATTTACTTATACTTGGTATTTAATAGGAATCATTTGCCTCCAAACAGTAAGCATTGTGATTTTTTTCCCCATCAAGAACAATCCTTTCAAGAACAAATCTTTTTGAGGACTTTTTTAATTCAAGAGCATAGACAAGTTGGATATGGGCCTGAATTAAGCTATTTTTATTGAAGCTGTTTTGGCCTAATCTATGCAAAACATGCTCATTTATTTCCCATTGCCCTTTAAAACTCTTGACCCAGGAAAGCTTAGATAAGCATCTGCATGTCCAACAGCATCACAGTGGTATTTCCATAAAATGCTTCCAACCCCAAAACCTACCAAGCACAGCCTAAACTCACAATTGAGGGCTTACATGGCAAGGGATAAGCAACGGCATGCAAAGAAAAACACATAGTTTGGAGTATATTTTAGTTTTGCTAAATACTGCTGAGCCTGTAAAGTTTGTCCGTAAGAGAGCTGTTTCTGACCTCCCAGCAAACCATAAGATGCAAAAAAAAACACAATGCTCTTATCCAGCTATGTTTATGACTGATGAAAGCTATTTTTCAACAGAATGAAAGGCTCATTCAAGGCTCTGAAATCTTACCAGCGCCATTATTGTTCCTTCTGGCTGCTTTGCTTTTGTTCGACACAGTTTCATTCTAATACAGAGGATTTATATTTTGTTAAATCAAGGCTCATTAGTGCAAGAGCGGAAATCTCTGGTTTTGTGGACTGTGTAGCGACTCTGGCTTTGGATCGCTAAACTCTACTCAGGGTTTGGCTTCGACTGATCTCTGGATCACTTTCCCATAGTTCCATCAAACCCGGAGCCGTGGTTTACCCTTGTGTTTCCCTGGATAGCTGATCCTCCTTTTAACAATTTGAAGAGAAGAAGCCTACACTTGTGTGGCACGCTGTTCGGCCACATTAGAAAAGTCATTCTGGCAGAGCTTTGGCCTGAGGTTTAGCAGAGAGACGACTCCTTAGAGCGTAGCCCTTCATAAACCCCCCATAATTGAGCTTGATGGATATATTTGCAACGAGTCTCACCACTATGAAAGGAGAATTGGCAGAACTGATTATTTGAATAGAATTTTCCACAGGCCACCAGGCTTGTTAGCTCTTAAAAGTGGGCATTTAAGCATTTATATTTTATTATTTACTTTCATTAAACCCATAATGTGAAATTGTTCAATTTTGAATGAACTGGCACATTATTCCCTGTTCACCATAATCGTTTACTGAAAACAACATGTTTCATATGAGAACTTAATCTATGCTGACACACTTTTCACATAAATGTACTTTAACATACCTTAGATTGCAAATATATCTCCAGTGATGCCTGTGCAACACGTTGCTGGATAACATATGAGTGTTTGGTATACAACACCTCCAAATTCCTAAATCATAATCAATCAACCAATCAGCAGTCGCAAAACAGTGTTTGACAGGCGGCTTGATAGTTTTGTCAGAGGACTGTAATCACTAAATGAGAATTTCTGACAGGATTATGTGCACTGTAAAGTTAAAGATTCTTTCTGCATCATTATGTCTGCATGATTTGGTTCTTGAGATGAATTCTGATATGCTAAATAATGAATGTTAAAATGTGCTTAAGTGAATTAAAGGAATTTTTACTATGCGGTTGGTTTGACCCAAAGCTATGCAATCTTCAGATGCTATTTCTTTGCTAACTCATTTATCCCATCGATTTTTAATTTCTACTTATTTGCATACAGTAGTTATTAATCTTTTTTTGCCAAAATCCTTTTCACTAAAACGTTCATATAAATGTATGTAGTCTATTTATTTATACTTAGTAATATGTTATACATTTTTTACAAGTGTGAAATTTTAACCCAAATCCATGTACAGTATGCTAATTGTAGCAACCTTGGTTAGGCCCCTTGTTCAAGGACACAAAAGTTATAGATTCAGTGTCACATATAGCTGGGATTGAACCTGTAACTGTTTTGTTGTGTGAAACCTAATAACTACACCTAAATTTTATACATTTGAAGTATTCTGCTGTGGCAAGGTGATATTGTTGTAGGTAGAGGTATCTGACACACTCCAGCCAATGATTATGTCATTGTCCCGAAGCTATCTGTGCAAAATTATTAACGCCTATTAATGGTTTGATTTACATGTCCTGTTAAGGAATTGTAGGTCATTTTAAATTCCATGTAAAGGTCTGTTTGTTCCTAGCCACCTGCTCCAAGACATTTAGCATTCAGGTATTCTGGTAAACAGGTGACTAGCAGAATTTTTTCATATCTTAGATATTTTGCATAAGTCTAGGTTAAAGGTTAAGGACACTGATCAAGCTGTTGGAGTGCGAGAATTTGTTTGAGGAACAGAACGCTAAGAGACATCTTGTTGACATCCATTTTCTGTGAACTGCATTTCAGACACGCATTTGTTACCTTTAAACACAGATGAAACGTGCTTCAAAAGATACTTTGACCCTCACACAGTGTCAGGGTGAGACCTGGATTTAACAGTTTAAGCAAGGAGGTGATTCAGAAGTGCAGCTCCTCATTGCCATCTGCTAATAAGCATGTTTGCCGTTTAAATATAGACCAGAGCACCCTGTGATTATTTTAGAGCAAGCAGGAAAGGGTGGACTGCACGCTCTGAACATCTCATCCAGATGGCTGATCGAATCTAATTGAAATGATATCACAACACAACATCAGTGCCGTGATAGTCTGCATTCATCAACATACCGGATGTGTATGTGAATGCACGCACACAATCTCAAGTTTCCTTTATATTTAGGCATTTCCCTACCCACCCACTAAGCGATTTTAACACTTGCTCAGGGGAAATAGTTTGTCGTTTCAGTCACCTGTGTTTCATGGCAACCCGGTCTCCAAAATAATCCACCGCCCTGAAGATTCCTCAAATATTCTGCTGAGAGATTTGAGTGGCGGTTTCTGGGTGTGAAAAGGGAGAGTATGCTTGAGTTTATATGTGCACATGTAGGTTTGTGTCTGGGTTAGTCTAGAGCGAGTGAAAAGGGAGAGTGTGTGTTTGTGTGGCTGCCATGCATGTGCGGGGGAGGGGACTAGTGGCGTTGACACTCTCTGTCATGTTTTTGCACCACCCCGAGGCCAAACTCCTGCTCTCACAGGTACTGTCACAGGTCAATCAGCGATGTCCCTGCCTTCATTCTTTGCTCTTGTGGTGTCACTTTTTATTTGCCACCTGCCCTCTTTCGTCTCCTCCCACTGCTTCAGCTCACTGGACTGAACTTTGGATGCAATGATTTCTGGACTGCTTGTGCCAAAGACTTCCCAAATGACTGCTGTCTAACTCACAAGGTGGACACATATTCTCTGTCGACAGGACAACATCAGCCTCTTCTTAAAAGCCTGTGCAAAGCTTGGACTAAAAGAGGCCCAGCTTTTCCACCCTGGAGACCTTCAAGACTTATCCACACGTGTGACTGTCAAGTAAGTTTTGGTTTTCTCAACTTACAATGTTCGGTAATATGCTTGAACCTTCGCCAATGTGAAAATAGCAGTGGTTTAGCTGCAACAGAATGTGTCCAACCACTGTTTATGGCTCACTGGATGGTGATTTTGGCAGATCTTATTGTCCTCTTGTCTCATATCCACATACTGTTGTAAAACAGGCTTGTATTACCAAGCCAGTTATTTAAATTCATTGTATGAGAGTCAATGCGAATGGCTATTTTTAATACATTTATGGGACGTGTTGTGGTTGTTGACATTATAGCTTTGTAACATTTATCATACAGTCGTTCCCGGCTTGTTTTGTTTGTGAAAATGAATTGAATATTAAATGAAAGTCATGAATTAGATATGCCCTTTGGTCAAGTGAAAAATGAAAGTTAGAGAAGAGCCAGTAAATGAAGCAGAGCAGAGGTGAGTCGCAATAAAACTATAATCTGATCTTAAAACAGCAGAATCACCCTCATCAGTGAAGCATAAACTCTCACTATCGCTGAATCAGAAGCTGACGGTTGGCTTGTGTATGCGTAAATCCGAGATGTGTGAATTTGCCACTCGCAGGTGTTTGTCATGTGCAAGCTGTAATCATGCTATATTGTTGTAGTTTCAGTGTTTTGGCTCAACCCATACCTGTGACCAGGGTGGAAAAACATGGCATGTTGATCAACCTGTTCATATTCTCACAGGTGTGTCTTGTATGGTTGCGTCGTGAGATCTGTCAGTCCAGCTCTGACATGTTCTTCACCACAATAGCACTCTGATATTTGCAAACAAAACCACTAAGAAGTACTAGGCTATTATATTTTACAAGTCACTTAAATGAACTAGAACATGTGTGATTCAGGTTCAAAACAAAGGTTCACAAATATAATAATTCTGTCATCATTTACATACCCTCATGTCATTCCAATCCTGACTTTGTCTTCCACTGAAGAAAAAAGGAGAAATTTTGAATAATGTGCTGGTTGCAGTTACAATGAATGGGAACTTTCAAGCTTTAAAAAAATGAAATAAAGGACCATAAAATTATAATAAAAGTAGTTTGCTTGACTTGTGCGCTATTTTCATTATTCATTCGAATATTTTAAATTATTTATATTGAATATGCAAATTACACCAGTGTGTTTTATAAGAATTAAAAAAAGCCAACATCCCTTTGTTTAGTACCAATGTAATTTGAAAGAGCTTTATATACATTTCCTGTTTTCATTTCATTTTAGTTAAAATTTCAGCTATTTTGTTGTTTTTTTTGTGATTTTCATTAGTTTTATTTATTTATTTTTTGTCTTATACTACATGCAGTTACAATGAATGGAAACTAAAGCTTCCAAGCTTCAAAAAGGAAGTAAAGGACCATAAAAGTATAATAAAAGTAGTTTGCTTGACTTCCAAATAGCTGTGACTAACAGATCGGTCATTCACTGATAATCTTCTCCATCAGGGGTTTGTTAACCAGATCATTGAGTCAATGAGTTGAACTTGAAAACTGGATCAGTTCAGTTTGTAAATGAATCATTCAGACCGCTTTTATGACCTGATTCATCAGTTTCACCAAAAAGATTCATTCATGAATTGGGAAACACCGCTACTCCTTTGTATTTGCTCTTACAAATACCTGGCAGGGAAAATGTCGAATGTCAAGTTTTTCAGTGAATAACGACGTAAGTTTGGTCTGTTCCTCACATAAAACTCATCATATGACCTCAGAAGATTTAGAAAGAAATACACCACTCAAGTCACAGTCTGAACCGCATTAGTCATAACTTTATAATGTTTTTTTTTTGTGTGTCATTTTGGAGCTCGGCGGCTTCAGTTCTCATTCACTTTAATAAGTAAAAAAAAAAAAAGAGTTCTAACGATATTCTTCAAAAATTCAAGTTATGTGTTTTAAGGAAGAAAAACAACATGAAAATGATCATTTTTGTGTCAACTATTCAGTGGATTGTCTGCAATTGATTTTCATCTTGTTCCTGTGTTTTCTCATAGTCGATCCTTGTGAACTGCTTCATTTGACTAAGGTGTGTTCAGCTCTGGCTTGAACTAGTCAAGCACATATTATTGGTGCGTTTGGACCATTGTGACCTATCAAAGCTGTATCACGTCACATCCAAATTAGCAATTATTCAAATATGTAAAGTCAGCCTGCCCATATTGATAAGACTGCTTTGAATATGGCGAGGGAGGGCTGGAAGTTTCTGCCTGTCGTGTCTTTGTTACCTCAGCTGAAGTGACAGCGCCGTCAGACGCTGAGATTAAACAAAGCGAGCCTCGCTGCATGACGGTTACCATGCCACACCCTCACTGCCATGCCAACCGTACAGAGGCTCTGATTAAACAGGACTCATCCAATCCCTATAGGCTATAATTATAATCACTTACTCCACTTGTATATGTCTGAGGGTGTGTGTTTGTGGGTGTGTGTGAGGGTTTATCTGCGTCCACTGACAGGCATTTGTCGGAAGGGTTCCAGGGGTCCTAATTTTAGAATTGAAAGGTCACTTTTTGACACTAGACGAAGTGCAGCAGTGATATGATTCCTGACTGTTACTTTTTATAGTTTGTTTTCTCCTTCATTCTCTCTGGTGTAACTTTACATCTTCAGGAACATGTTTGTGTTTACTTCATTAACTACCGTTTTGGCTTGTATTCTCTGTTGCGGATTTGTGTAGGCTATGCAGTTTGCATATACTAACTGTAAGCTGGTCAAGAATTAGACTCGACCCGCTCTGCACTGCAGTCCATCAGTGATATTTAAAAGTGTTTTTTACCCAACCCTTGCCAAATCATTCGAGCAAATGCCATGCATTTTTTGAGTTCTGAAGCGATACATTGTTTGTGCCACTATCCTGTTTCAATGCTCTTTCACCAACTGCTAATACAGATGGCAGTAAACCTTCTGCAATGTGAGGGCATAATTTGTACGCTACATTAAAGTTCTCTGATCTCTCACACTGATCTGAGGTTTACAGCCCTTGTGGAGTTTGACGCCGAATGTTCGCAGTCACACAGAAGGCAACGTGAGGAGATATTGCAGCTTATTGCCGACAGGCTTGAGATAAGCAGGGCCTGCATTCATCATTACTCATCAGCCCATGAAAAGCAAGTGTCTCAGAGAGGGAAACAACTCTGGGTCATCTGTCCCTCAGGCAGCCTCTTCCAGCACGACAGCTGCTCATTTCATGGCCTGTTGATGTCTGCTAATAAACACGATCAATATTTACTGACATGCTACCTAATACAACTTATTTACTTATATATATATATTACCAATCAAAAGTTTGGGGTTAGTTTTATGTATATAAAAGTATAAATTCATAAAATATGATTTATTTTAATGTATTTTTAAATGCTGTGGTTATGTGAACAAAAAGTTCATTATTCATTTGAATATTCTAAATTATTTATATAAATTCCGCAAATTACACCAGTCACTAGTGTGTTTTATAACTAAGTATTGTTTTTTTTTTAATGCCAACATCTCTTTGTTTAGTACCAATGTAATTTGAGTTATGAGTTACATATATATTTCCTATTTTCATTTTAGTTAAAATTTTAGCAATTTCGTTGTTTTTTTTGTGATTTTTATTTTATAGTTTTTTATAAATTTTTTATTTTAGTTTTAGTTATTTTAGTTAACTTCAATAAAAATGTTGAAATTTGCCTTGCCTGAAATAAAATGAATAAGTTTTTTTTATATTTTAATCCAGTTGACAATATTTTTTTATTTAATTTTAATTCAAGTAGCATTTATTTAATTTAAACTTATTTTTCTTGAACTGAAAAATTAACTTAAATGATGAAAAGGATTCTGGAAAACAGTTTTCAAGTCCAACGTAAGAGAGATTTTCATGACTACTGTTTTGTCCAGGTACTAGTGGCAGATTCGTTTTTTATTAGTGTTGTGCAAATGTAGGATGTATTGAACATATAGGCATGAAGCTTCTTTGAAAATAGGAATTCTCATAGGATTGAAAATTTGTCATGGAATGGACAAGATGTGTTGGTAGATGACAACTATAACTAGTGGTGGTTCAGAAGGTTTCATTACTTGTCACTGTAGATGTGTGAACTTTATCTCTGCATTTTATTATTGTCTCATCCAGTGAACGTGTTGCCGTGTTACTAGTGATTACATAAAGTTAATGATAAAGAATTATATCTCTTCCTGCATTCCAGTAGTTTATAGAGTCACTTTTTGCCTTCAGACAATGCTAATAATTATGGACAATCATCAGTTATTGACTTCAAGAGGAGTCATACTGTACATAGCTTCAAATAAGAGAGCCAAATTAATCATAAAAGAAATGTGATCACAAATGCTCTGGCTTCATGTCATCCTGTATCTGTTACAGCAGTAATACAGTGTGGCATTAACAATATTGTTTTTATTAACCGCCGATATCATCATCTCATGCTCCAGTGCCGAACTGATTCCCAGATAAACCACTTCTCTTCTCTTAGTACATGCAGATGCTTTGTTTGAGGTTGGCTGATGGTTATTTGTAGCTATGTTTAAGTGGAAAAATACTGAAAAAAATGGATATGTTGAATGTTATGTTCCTTTTTATTAGATTTAAATATACTATCGTTCAAAAGTTTAGGGTCAGCAAATTTTTGTAAGTAAAACATTAATACTTTTATTCAGCAAGACTGAAAATGCTGTTCTTTTTCAACTTCAATTCATCACATATTTCCAAACTGTTAAGCAGAACAGCTGTTGTCAACACTGATAATAAGAAATTAGAAAAATTACTGAAATAAATGAACTTTTCCACGACATTCTAATTTATTGAGATGCACCTGTAAATGCAGCCTTGGTGAGCATAGAGGACTTCAAAACATTAAAAAAAAGTTATACTAACCCCAAAGTTTTGAATGAACTCCATTCAGACCAGTAAATAAGTACTGTTGGTGCACTGTTGCATGCTGAAAGTGTAAAAGATCCACTCTGGATTCACAGTGTTGTGAACTGTGAAGATTTTCATTATAAGAGTTATGGGAGGTTATTTTGAATGAATAGGTTATTTTCTCAATGGTGTGTGGCACTGGATGGCATCAGTGGTGTCTGTGACATGAACACTGGTACATTGTGAATTACTCAATTGTCCACACGGACAAACAAGAGCTGCATTTGTTCGACACGCTCATCAGGCTTGTGAAAATTATATCTTTACAATGTTTACTTGTGGATTATAGCTGGTGATTCGGATAAGGATGTATCAAGTCTTTTGGGAGACATTAAATCAATCACTGCTGATGCCTCCATTGAAATGTTTATGTTGTATCATAGGGCTGTGAGTGAAGACTTTATAAAAAGTAAAGACACAAAGATAGATTGATGCAATCTGACATGACTCATTATTAGCATTTGTTCATAAAACCAGGAACATTCTTTACCCGCTGAATGTTACTGAACTGGGCTGTTAGGTCTTAATATCCCAGCTATGCACACACACCCTCTAGTATTAGGCTTTGTAAATAAGGGGTGTTGATGTGTCATGAACCTGCCCGACCATTGTCACTGCGTCATTTTATTGCGTTGCCCAAAAGGGACTGGCAGGTCGTTACCACATTTTTATGGACATGAATCATTTCGATGTTGAAGACGGATGTTAGACTTGAAAATTCCAGAAATATGCCTTGGATATTGTGTAACTGAGGGCTGGACTTTGTCCATGTGTAAGTATTTTAGATTATGCGTAGGCAATATTCTATCTCTATTATAGACTATCCTGCTTTTTCACTCACAGCATCTGTATGAGCCTCTGTGGTTTGGACATTGTTTAGAGTGAAACAGCATAGTATCATTTAGAAACTTCTATTGTGTTCTACTTTGACATGACACAATAATCACACATACAGAAATGGTTTGGTTTCTAGAGAGAGACACATCCTAAATGTCAATGTGACTTTCCCACGGACTAGTACAGCACTTGTTTATGACACTGACTGTATCTTCAGGCCCTAAAACTACCAGAAAAAAAAACAGGTTTTGGGAATGTAGCTTTGATTCTGAGTCCATTACACACAAATATTACAGAATGCAGCAGGTTGAGGTTTTCTTTTGTGAGAATGTAACAGTGCAAGCATTATATTCTCACAAACAGTCATTATTGCAAACAACATATTTTTTTCTTTTGTCTTGGGAACAGACGGGTGATTATAAGCAATTTGACGCAGTCTTGTACTTGTTTAGACACATTAGTTCAAAGCATTTAAAGTCTGTTGTGGGAAGAGACCCCATTGAAAAGCATTTGTCTCTGATTATGTCTGACAGTGTTTTGAGTAGAAAAAAGAGCTGTTGCAATTGGAATGTTCCAGCCACAGTTCTCTTACTAAAGGATGGAGAATTAAGAGTGGCATGAGCGGCTGTTAAATACCAGTGCCACTGCTTTTATTTTTTAACATAACCCAGTGTTAACAACTTAAAGGGGTAGTTCACCCCAAAAAGTCAATATTTGAAAGTGAATTTTTTTATAAATATACTGGCCACTCTTTTCAATATAATGAGTTAGAACAGAGGCTGTCAAGCTCCAAAATATTTTTTTAAATGCTCCATAAAAGTTTTAGGGAAAGTGGTCCATGTGCTTTATTTGCATATCTTGCAAAGCCAAAGCCATATATTATTGCTTTTTGCGAAGAAGAAACCAAAATGTAAGTGTTGCTGACTACTTTTATGATGCATTTTATTGGTTTATGGTGTGTTTGCATTCTTTTTAATGCTTGAAAAGTTCAGTCATTGTACTTGCAAGGAAAAGAGGACCAGTACAACATTTTTCAAAAAAATCTTCATCAGAATAAAGTCATATGGGTTCATGACAACATGAGAGTGAATAAATGATGACAGAATTTAAATTTTTTCGTTCTCTGTTATCAGATTGGATCAGAAATGCTGATTTCGCTGATTTAGCTTTCCCTTTCAAGATCAGTGCCTTCTCCATTAGATAATATCTTTTGATTTTTTTTTTTATCCACCGCTAATAAATAAACACCTCATATTCATGTGAACAGCTGATCACATGAAACCAAAATACACCCTTGCGGTTCTATCTTTTCTCACCCCAACAAAGAGTCCTTTGGCTTTTTCAGGGCTCATAAATGATCATTAGGTAACAAGCATTTAAGGCAGAATGTTCTTGACTTTTTTTTTTTTTCAGCAGCTTTGTAAATGTAGACTTTGTTCCGATGTCAGGCACATACTTTTTTTCCCTTTTATTGGAGCAATAAATTGTTGCTATCGAGAGCAGTGAACGCCTTCATTCAGCAAGTTGAACATGTCATACAGGTTCACCAGCTTGAAAAACACACAGGTCGCTGACTAGCATAATCGCTCTCCAACCTCTCAGCTGTTGAACACTGTAGCTTGTGTCATAAATCTTGCATCATGGCTGTCACAGCTAAAATGTATTGTATTGACTTTGAGAGTGTATTGTTAGTACTGTAAGAATGTGCTCTGTTGTGTCAGGATGGTATGTACCTACAGTGCAGGTCCTCCCAGTGTCATTAAATACTCTGGGCACTCCAAATACTAAAATGCACGATCCAGACATTGTATTATCTATATCTCTAGGGAAATGGATGTTTTTTTGTGTTTTATATTTATGTTATTTCCCTCTAAGCGCCAAAGTCGCAAAATTGCGACAAGATGTCATACTTAATAAAATAGACTGTAGTTCCTAATATGGTGTAATATCTCATTTGTATTCCCTACCACTAGATGGCAGACATGTAGTACTTCGATTCTAGACCAAAATTACGTCACGTTCCTATTCAAAGTGTTCGAGGAAATAGCAGAGCAAGTGAGCTATCGTGTCATTGATGCGGAAGCAGTTCAGTTCATAGCGTGCGAGTAAATTGTGAGATTTGTGAGAGAAAATCGCCAAATGGCTAATAAAAAGTTGTACCGTGAGGATGTGTTGCAAATGTTATTCGCCGATTCTGACTCTGAAGGGGAATATTTGCCTTTTGGAAATGACGATCGGTCATCTAATAATCGCGCTTCTCCCGGTACATCTTTGCAGCGCAATGGTTAATTACAATAATTAATTACACTCTAAATAATTTAAATAATAATTTAAATAATTTAATAATTTAAAGTAAAATAATTACACTCTCGTGCAAGGCGAGAGTGTTCACGAAGCATAAACAAGTGATCATTTCGACCCTTTGCCCAACGGGGATGGAGGTGGCAGCGGTGGACGTGATCGTTGTGTCCATACGAGAGCTGTTGCTAGAGGTAGAGGCAGCAGGGGTAGGAGAAATCAGTGTGGGGTAGGTCTGTGCGCTGTGCCATGCAATGAGAGGTACCATACTCTCAAGAACTATAAACCGTGTCACCTAGATACCTGATTGGGCATTTTTAACATTCGTTTCTTATTTAATTGGTTCCACATTGTTTGCTGATTTTTACTTTATTTAAACTTTGTGTCATTTATTTATTTTATTTGACATTCGTTTTGCTAATAAACATTCTACGTTTCTTATTTATTTGGTTATATATTATAGGCTACATATACTTCCAGTTTTGTATAGGCAAATAAGTTCAAACATCAATTCAATATCTACTATTTCCTGAATATTATGAAATTCAAGATAACCGCCCCCTAATGACGTCATAATATGCTAATTAGACGAGTATATTTACACCCCACATAAACTTTCAGTCATGGCCAACATTTTTCTAATTTACAGTAAGATCTCTATTTTTAAGCCCTTTCAAGCCACAAGCTTTTGAAATCTTGATGTCAAAATCCAGCATTTTTCCAAAAATCCCTGGCGCCTAAAAGGTTAAGGCATAGTAGGCTTGCCGCGATAGACGGTGTTGACGGTGGTACCGGTGTTAAAAAAACGACGGAAAGCGAGGAAAAGAGGGAAAATTCAAACGAAATAAAAACGAACAATTGCTTTACTCCGAATTGCCGCTATTTCAAAGTGAAAGTAAAATGCGCACACATTTAAAAGCGAAGGAAAGCGAGGAAAAGAGGGAACGCCCCGCCCTCGCGGTGATACCGGTATTACCGGTGGGAAAATTTCCTCACCATCACAACCCTTAAGGCATAGGCTAAAAATTGCAGGGAAAACCAAGTCAAAGTTTAGCTAGTAAACATGGGACCTCCAATTCAGAGAGCAAATGGCTGAAGTATTATATAATCTCCTTGGTCAAAACATAGGAGAAGGAAATACACACAGCAACAGGATGTCAAGGATCTTGGGTTCAAAATTCCATTGACGTTTTACATTGAGGAATTTGGTATTTTTATTGTGATCCTATTTGGTCTTCACCTTGTGTGACAGTGTTCATAAAAAAACCTGTCGAGGACAAGAAGGTGACAAAAAAGTAGAACATACACAGTACATGTACTGTGTCTTATCATTGTTTTATTGTTTATGTGCTTGTCGCATTTCTGACATAAAATATATACTGTCAATTTAGAATGAAGCTAGTTTTAGTAGGGTTATTTAGCTGTTGTTCATCTGGTTGTTTGAGTGAACGTGTTTTTAGTGCATATCCTTTTGTATAGAGCTGCCGGGAACTGGCCTGATGGGATTGTGCTTTCACCTTCTAGCTCATTCACCAGGGCACACAGAGACCCAAAACATGCCCACTGTTTTTTATTGTCTTTTTCCCAGGCTGAGTGATTAACCAAACACCTCTTCTCCTCTACAGGCACCAGGAGAGCAGCAGGAGGCTCAAAAATGTAAGTGCTAATGCTGAGTTATTTGGGTTGCTCCTGTTTATCTCCTAATTTGTTCATTTGAAATATGCTGTGAGTTTTAGGAGTCTGGCTTCATTCCTGCAGTGTCAAATACAATTCTCACTTTGCAGCTTCCATATTGTGATTTGTGGTTGTCTGTTTATCTCTTAAATAGCTCAGTGGCAGTATATAATAGTAACATTTCAAGAGGCTTTATCTAAAACTCAAGTACGCTGCTCAAGACACCCCTCACCTCTCTTGAGTAAGAGTAATTTGAGAAATGGCTCAAAAAGCATATTTTAAGCAACTAAGTGTTATAAGTGTCCTAATATTTTTTTGGGCCAGGGTATATAATGGCTTTTAATCTTGCAATGTGATTTAACTAGTTTCTGTTGACATCTCAGCATGCAGCCAGGGATGAAGTAGCATTGGATTTTATCACTGAATCATATCTTTGTTGCAGTGTGTTCTAATACAGTTGTGTTGATTTGTTTCCTAGGTTCTGATCACCATATACTGGTTGGGCAGAAAGGCACATGCTGATCATTTTTATAATGGACCTTACCTAAAACTAAAGGCTTTTGAGGGATTACTTGGCAAAGCACTATATAAGGTTAGATATCTATTGACATTATGCAGTATTTGACTGTAGTATTTACTTTTAGATGTTAAATTGTAGTGCTTGAATACCGTAGATTCTTCTAGACTAGCTGACCATGTAAATCTCATTTTATATCCATTCTGGTATTTAAAATATCTTGCTATGAATGCAGCAGACTGGTCTCATGATTTAACTAAATATAAAGGAACAGTGAGCCAATAGCAATTAATTGCTTTGATACTGACTTTTACATATGGAAAAAAAAATATTTATTTGAATTTAAATAATTTTACCATGCTTATTATATTATTATAGAAGTGCCATCAAAATCATTTTTGTCATTAAACCTGCCATTTCAATTTAAAACTCTGCATATTTCAATTATTGTAGTCAGAAATAGCCATGCAAATCTTTTTGTTAATACACATCAATATCAGAACAGAGTTTAAATGCTTCTATGTACATGATCAGCTTTAATGGCATGACTTACAATGGAAAAGACAGCAGATTCTCATGAGCAAGACTGTGTGCACTGCACTGATGGAGGCTGTATGCTGTGTTTGTTGTTTGTGTTTTTCCCTTGTGCACACTGTGTGCTGGTCCCTCACGCTCACACCCTTGTGCTCAACAGACACTAGAGGATTGCACATCACTGCAGGGCAGTGTGCGAAACAGCTCTTGTAGAGACAGCTGGTACTCAGAGAAAGAAGAGCTCTTCCCACTACGAGCCGGACACAGGAGAGAAGACTCTCTAGACAGCCTCGACTCACTGGGCTCCAGAACTTACAGCACATCCTCAGACGCTACACTCAAAGGAAGCAGCGAGGGTAAGACTCCTCAGTCTCTTAAGTTTCTCTTGTGTGTTCTAACTTGACTTTGAGGCAGTCAGAGATGAGTAGTTGTATCAAAAGTGAAGTTTGGTCTTTCATTTTGTGTCTTTTTAGAAAAAAAAAAAGTGAAATAAGCTGTGAAGTGCCACAGAAAATAAAAACTTTGATTGAGCTGCAGTATAGTTTATTAATTAACTCTTGCCTATCTAAACAAATGCTTGGTGCCCTCTAGTGGTTTATGAGTGAAACCATTTAAGGCTTTTGTCATGAGCTGACTGGGACAGTGTTTGATGGAAAGTGCAAACTTCCATCCACTCATACTCTTCTACATGGTTGCGTTTCAGTGGCATTAGCAGCTTTCTACTCCGTCATGGTCTCAGGGGCTCAATTGCAGCTCATGAGGAAGGTGTTGATGTAATTAGCAGCTGATATAATTAGTGTTCTGGGCTTTCTACACGTTCACTACAGTGAGACATTTTTTTTCTTTTTCCCCACTGACCTGTCAATGAGTCAGTCGCTTCCCACTGCCATATTTACTACATAGAAGTATGTGCATGAGTGCACTACAAAAAAAAAAAAGTTGTCTATATTTGGACGATGAAGACATTTTCTAAGAATTCTACCATTTAAAAGTTAGAGATTTTTGAAAGAAGTCTCAGGCTTAGCAAGGCTGCATTTATTTAATCAAAAATACAGTAAAAACAATAATTTTGTGAGATATTATTACAATGTAAAATAATTGTTTACTATTTTTAAATGTAGCTTATTCCTGTGATGGCAAAGATATGTTTTCAGCATCCATTGCTCCAGTCTTCAGTGTCAAAAGATCATTTTGAAACCATTCTGATATTATCACAGTTGAAAATGAGTGTAATGCTTAATATTTTTGTGTAAACATGAGTCTTTAATGAATAGAACGTTCACAAGGACAGCATTTATTTGAAATGTAATTTCCTTTTATCAGTTTAATGCATCTTTGCTATGTAAAAAAAAGTAATGATATCTTTGAGAAGAAGAAAAAATCTTACAGAGCCCAAACTTTTCAATGGTAGTGTTTTATAATTGTATGAATTGCTGTAAGCTTATTTTCTTACCCCATTGGTAAATAGATTTTTCTTGCTTTAAGAAAAATATAATGAAATTTGGTGAGATTTCTGTGTAAAATAGATTCTGATGAAGAAAAATCTTTTTTGCACTGTGTACTTTGTCTAGATCAAATTTTGTCATCACAAAAATAGTAAAACGTGCATTCAGCTACATTGTGTGGACTATCCAACAGTCCCCAGAAAAACAACTTCATAAATACACTAAAAGAAAATCTGAAAATTCAAAAAAGTATTCCATTGCATTCTGTAAGTGTTAGGTTTAGGGTTATGGGTTAGAAAACATTAGTTCAGTATAAAAACTATAAAAGTCAATGGAAAGTCCCCACCAGGACAGAAAAACAATCATGGGTGCATGTGTGTGTGTTTATAGCTCACACTCCTGGGTGTCTGTGCTGTTTCTCCAGGTTGTGGCAGTGACCCTGAAGCAGATCTGAGCTTCATGATGTCAGAAAATAAAGAATACCGCCGTTCACTGGTCGTTGCACCTAAGACCACCACTCAGTACAATCAGTTCCTGCCATCAAAGGACAAGCAGTCAGGCTACGTTCCAGCACCATTACGCAAGAAACGTGCAGAGCGAAATGACGACAACAGAAGAAGCTGGGCTAGCCCTATGTACACAGAAGATGATGGCACTTTTACAAGGTAATGCAAGTCTACACTTTACAGATCATAGGGGGTTTTCAATGGACGGCATATATTCACCTACTCTGGCGCAAAGTGACCAGTGATATGTGATGTTATCCAGAACATGTTTTCTGCAAGAAACATGTTTCCTGCAAGTTTGGTCTTTCTCTAAGGAGGCCTTAGGATAGAAAATTCACAAGTTTCTATCCTAGACAGCAATGAAATTAAAATGAGAGTAAAAACTTTCTTTAGTCTCCAGCTTCTCAGATTTTTCTCCAGAGAAAAAAAAAGAATCTTAAATCCTCTTGAATTTTAAAAGAACTCAACAATGTCTTACATTGTGCTCTGAAATCTGCAATCAAAAGATTTGAATGTGAACTTTTGGTCATTCACTTTTTTTAGATTCATTATCATTACATTCCTCCTTTGTTGGTTTGTCTTTGCCGGTACTTATTTTTCCCACTATATCTTGGCATTGTACTTTTGTGACCATCACTGGCGGTCCATCCCAGTCGTGAGAGGGCAGGTTCAGACCCTTCATCTATCACCGGGTTGAAATCCCAGACAGCCGCTTGCCCGTCTTTGGCCTATCAGTATGAGAGCAGTGATTCGGATGCAGACCGACCGGATCCCGACGTGGTTCTAGATGACCTCGCTAGCCGTAGATTTCACAGCCCCTCCCCTGTCGCTCTGACCAACTTTGCCTTACCCATGAGCCACCTGGAGGCAACTGCTGTCCCGTGTACTACCAGGTCACAGGTGGCTGTCAGTAATGAATCCCGGCAGACACTGACCCATCTCAGGTCAGAACTGGCATCATTGACGTGCATCTGTTTGCCATTTTATCAGTGCTAACTGTGGGATTTCTTCGTTGCTGTGATGTCTTTATTTCGCTTGATTTTCAACCTATAGTGTGGACTTTTTTGAAACATTTTGTTTTCAGTGTTTGCTTTTTATTTGGTTTGCTGTACTTGTTAATCATGGATGGTTTGATGTGCATTGATCACTGGCGGTATGTAACAAAAATGGCTGTCTTTTGAGCAGCAGTCAGTCACAGCCTCTTCAGAGGACTTACAGGAGACCTGTATCGGCTGGTGTCTGCGTTTATGATGACTCTGAGGAAGAGGATGACGAGTTTGGCTATGCCGATCCTGTTCAAGATGATCTTTATGCCCGTAAAGTAGGCCTGACGCCTCAACCGTCTGTAACAGTGCCTTTTGATAAATTTCTGCCCAAGTTCTGGACACCTGAGGAGGATGCACACGTGAAGAAGATCAAACTGGGCTCCCAGCGCCGGCCTTGGTACAGGAAGATCCAAGGATTCAGGTCTGTCCAGTACTGAGGCAAAAAAAGAAAAAAACATACTGTAAAGATTTAAAATGAGTAAAACTTTGAAAACTCCAGGAATACTTCATTTTTCAAGATATGCATGATATATCAGATGAGCAGAAGGGGAGGGAATCAGTCATGATTCTGCTTCTTGCCAGAGATTCAGATTCTCTGTTTCGTAATGTCTCTGTTGACAATATTTCATAATTTTGAAGAAAAAAGAATGAAAAATATTTTGACAATGACAATTCTTACTGCATTCACTCCAGTAAGAAGCTGTTGCCAACTTATAAGAGTTTCAGATATCAACAGGACATTAAAATCAAAATAAATAACATCTTCATATTTATTATAATTGGCAACTGTTCATGAAAATCATTTGGACATTAAAATGTTTTTTTTTATTGCAGTTACAAAGTTTTTATGAAATCTAAATAAGAACCTGTTCTCAATACCTAGCCCTCTCGATCAGTCCATTAATGTTCAGATATTAATTTCTAACACACCGTAAAGACATGTCTGGCATTACACTGACTCCAAAAGAGTACAGTATTTGGCCACTTAGGTCAAACTTAAATGTGGTTACAAACAAATGATGGTAGACCTGTTATTTGGACGTGTTCTACAAAATCGACCAACGATTAAGTGTCCAAATTTTGTATTAGTTTTTGCTCATACTTTCTTATAGTTTTAAGTGTGGCTTAAATGTCCAAATACTTTTGGTGCACTGTAAACCCTCAGGTTTCTTTTTGGCTTATTTACTTTATCACTAAGGCTTCTCTGTTACCTCTCTGTCTTCTTTGTGGTGATGGTTGCTAACCTTTCTCCCCTGTCTTTCTCTGTGCTCTTTTACCTCACATTTTCCAGCCACAAGAAGTCAGGTTCATCCTCTGAAGAATCAGACGGTGACGTCAACCCCTGGCTCTCTGTACCTACTTTCTCTCGCACTCAGTCTGAACCCCCTCCCTCTCACTCCCATGCACCTGAAGGCCTCGCTCAGTCCAGCCTCACTTCCACACTCAGGTCCTTATCACAGCCCCATATGCATTAGGACTGGACATCTACTCACTTCCCCCAATCAGCTTCTTCTCATGTTCTAATAAATGTATGAACTGGTGCTTACTAACATGTAGTGTTTTTTATTCGAAATCATCATCATGAATGTTAGTGATCTCACCAAACAAATGCATTTGTATCCAAATGGAAATGGTGAGAATTGTCAGCATAGTATCAATATTCACATAATTCAGGGATGTTAAAAGGACAGTTCACCCAAAAAGATGAATCTTTATGCTGCTCTTTTCCAGTAACATTGTTCATAGTAATGAAAGTGGTTCATGCAACTCATTACAAGTGAAGCCCATGATTTGTGTGAGAAGAGGACAAAGCTTTCCAATAAGGCCCTCCATTAAGCTATTCCTTCAAAAACAATTGAGACTGTATAATATAATGTGTCAGTGAGTTGAATTTGAGAACCGGATCAGTGAATGTGTCAATTTTCTTTGAGTCTTTTCAGTGAACACAGCTGATTCAGTTTAGAAATCTGACTGATCAATTGCTTTACAAACACACTGATGATCTGGTTACAGCAGCTCTTGAATGATTTGCCACAGCTGACTTGAAGGGGAAGATTATCAGTGAATAATGACTTACATTTCTGTCTTTTCCTTACACAAAGCTATAATATAGCTTCAGAAAATATGAAATATTACTAATGCATTGTATGGACCAAATTTATAGCTCTATTTTGGTGCAGTTTTGGAGCTTCAAGGCCCATTCACACCAAAAACGATAACTATGTATAATAAGTATTATATTAGCATCAACACCAACACGTAATAAGATTCTGTTTATTATAAGTGTATTTACACTATAGTTACATCGTCTGACACTTTAAATGCTCATACACTTTAAAGCCAGATGGATTTTGATTGGTTCTCAATGTTTTTATCTTTCATTAACTGGAAAAAAATAGTTCTGAATGTGATTTCAATAATATTGTCCCCTTGTGTCGTTATCATTATAGTTGTGGTGTGGACTTCACTATTCTCAAGAAATTAGAGCAATTATTAAAACTTTATAGTTATCGTTGTAGTTATCATGCTTTGTGTGAACCAGCCTTAAAAGTTGTGGTCGCTATGAACTGTTGTGTGGCCTGGGTCAAGATTCTTAAAAATACTTACTGTTATTGTATTTAACTTTTAGTAAATATAACTTCTTAGTATTTTTGTGGCAGAGTGCTCACACTGCTGCTTTTCCAAAAATCCAGAACAAATAGAGACCGCATAATGCTGCTGTTACTTATATATCACATGGTTAGTTGCATCCTCCTGCATGCACTACTCTTGCTTACTGATTCTTACACTTGCATTCTCCTACTGTCCCTTGCATGTTCTGAATCCTTTCTTTGCTCTTTTCTCCTTTCATTCACCACAGTTGTCAAACACAACCTCTCACAGTTGCTCAGCAGACTGCTGGGCTGCATAATTTAAAGCCCCCTGATTTTTGGCCCAGACCGGATCCCGCCTCTGGCCCCAGACTCATAAAATGTGAAAAGCGTCCCCTCCTTGGGCGTGAACACCCTAACGACCCATACAACGTTTCTGCCGACATCCTGCCTGATTTGGAAAATGACGATATGTTCACACGTCGTACAAAAACCTTCCACTCAAGCGATGACCTGGCCAAATTGAAGTATGGTAACTTCCTGTTGCCTCGCCACAGATCGAAGGCCGACGTCATGGTGGTAATTCAGCCCCGCCACGAGAGTGAACCCATTTATCCTGACATTGAAAAAGACGATGTGGTTTTTCGAAGGGCTCAACAGCAAATCAGTCATTGCCCTCTGTCTGGGGCCCCTGATAACTACCACCCTGTTCCTATTCCAGAGGCATGGGCTTTGCCACCAAAACAGCAGGCCAAGCTGATGTGTGACCCAGTTGAACCCAGACAGCACCAACCCAAGCCAGAGATTAAACACGGAGCAGAACAGCACCTGAAGGCAGATGATATGCTACTTAGGAAGCTAAGAGCTTTAAATACCCAAGGGAAGATGGAAAGGGAAGCTCCTGGTGTTTCTTTCTCTTGCAGTGAGGAAGATATGCAGAAATGGCAAGCCATCAGAGAGGCCAGCCATGTGCGATACCGGAAGAGGCTGATGGTGGAGAGGTTAGGTTTCTGAGCCTGCAGAAATGCCTGTGTGTGCTTGTCATCGTGATCTCAGCTGCGGTGTACTTTTCCCATTCTCATGTTAACTATGATCTGATACTGGCAATGGCAGATGTTTGGGAGTTTAATATGGGTGTGAGTTTGATTGCATGAGACCTGCCACTTGATGAATAATTGTAACAGGTAGATATTTGGATTTTCTCTTGAATTATTTTGGACTGGCTTCCAAATTTGAACTTCTTTTTGGTTTGTGCAGTTTGTGCATGAAGTCTTGATGTCAAAATGGTTCTCAGCCTTGAAATTTGATCCATGCTGTGTTTTACCCACCCTATTTTTAACATAAGAGCGGGTACGGCCATTTTTAATTTGAATGTGCAATGGCATCAGTCCCTTCCAGTAATTTTAACTGTACAAAAACAATACTTTATACTCCTTGATGTTGCAAACTGGTATTTGTTATCATATTATTTTAATTTATTTGTGTAATCATAAATACACTGGTTTGTAGTACAAATAATTTTGCAGTTTTATGCAGTTTATTCTTCTTCTAGTTATTTACCTATAGCGACTAAGTGAAAGGTGGGTAAATGGTTTATTTATTTGGTCTATAACTTTGTTTAATTTATTTAATTATAAAAAAGCATTTGATTGATTTTTAGCATTTATTTATCTATTAACATAATTGCATTAGGATGCATAAACCTTTTTACAGGAACACCAAGGAAAGTTATTTTTGCCATACAGATAGACCTTTTTTGTCTTTGCAGAGACTGACCAATTGCCTGTGAATTGCATTTTGTTTGTGTTTAATAAAAAGACAGAATCTGGTGACAAATGCATATAAGAAACTGATACATCATGTACAAACTCCATTGCTGTGGTTTTCGTTTAAGTAAAAGGCTCCTAACAGGCTTTATAAGGTGCTAGTGTATCCAGCTATGCTGTGGTGGAATTTTAAAACCTGAGCAATGTCTGTAAATAATCCAGTCAGACACATTCACTCTTTATGAGGTAGCTTACAATGCGCTTTAGCTCCAAATTCCCCACACCCTTGTGATCCTGTGAAAGCTGGAACTTACACTTATGTGACCATGGAAACACACCTAGCACTTGAACCCCAAGTACAACATTTCATTTGATCAGAGTCCATGTAATGTCGGGGCATTTAAAAGAGCAACCGCACTGGGATTGGTGGGGAATTCTACAAGTTTCCAATGATGTCATTCCACCTTAAAATGTACCTAAACCAAGTTACAACTGACACTTAATATTATGTTTACACATTTTAAATGTCAGACAGCTCGGTCTGTAATCGGAGAATTAACTGAATGTTGAAGCATGACTGTGTGTACTGTAAAAAACAAAAACAAAAAAACAGCTCATATAATAGCTGGAGTGGTGTGACTAAGCTCTTGACTACCGTTTAAAAGTTTGGGATCCGTGAACATTTTTTTAAAGAAATTAATACTTTTATTCAGCAAGGTTGCATTAAATTGATCAAAAGTGACAGTAAAGACATTTAAAATGTTTTCATTGTGAAAATTCAGCTTTGTCATCAGAGGAATAAATTACATTTGAAATATATTAACATTGAATCAGTTATTTTAAATTGCATAAAATTTTACACTTTTGCTCTTTTTATTGTATTTTGATCAAATAAATGCAGACTTGGTGAGCATACAACACTGGTCAGTCAATAAAAACTGTCAATCATCACACCAATATATGATTATGTTGTTGTTGTGGTTCTCTTTGGTTCCCTAGACTGCTCCAGAAAAGCTCTAGTAGTGAAGGGTGAGTTGTGGCCTTGTGCAGTCACAGCACATTTGTGTGTGTGTGTGTGTGTGTGTGTGTGTGTGTGTGTGTGTGTGTACCTGTTTTTCTAT